CACGTTCTATGGTTTTGAGTCTTACATTTAATCTTTAATCCATTTTTTAGTTTTTTCTTGTGTATGGTGTAAGAAGATGGTCTAGTTTCATATTTTTGTGGGTGTCTGTCCAATTTTCCCAACACCATTTATAGAATAGACTGTCTTTACCCCATTGTGTGTTTTTGGCTCCTTTATCATTTATTAATTTATCATATATATGTGGGTTTATTTCTGAACTCTGTTCTGTTCCATTGATCTGTGTGTATGTTTTTCTGCCAGTACCATGTTGTTTTGATTACTATAAGCTTGTAGGATAGTTTGATAACCTCCAGTTTTGTCCTTCTTCTTCAAGATTTCTGTGGCTACTCAGGTCATTTGTGGTTCCATGTAAATTTTTGGATTATTTGTCTTAGTTCTGTGTAATACACCATTGGTATTTTGAAATGAATTGCATTGAATCTATAGATTGCTTTGTATAGTATGGATATTTCTATAATGTTAACGCTTCCTATTCATGAGCAGGTATATACTTCTACTTATTTGTATCTTCTTCAATGTGTTATGTCTTGTTCTGTATCTTTAATATTTTCCAAGTACAAGTCTTTCACCTCCTTGGTTAAATTTATTCTTAGGCATTTTATTTTTATAGGCAGTTATAAATGGGATTGTTTTCTTAGTTACCCTTCCTGATAGATCATTATTGGTGTATAAAAATGCAACAAATTTCTGAATATTTATTTTGTATACTGCTACTTTACTGAATTCATTTACCAGCTCTTGTAGTTTACTGGTGGAATCTTTAGAGTTCTCTATATACAGTATCATTTTATCTGCAAATAATCACAGTTTTACCTCTTCCTTTTTAATTTGGATATCTTTTAAATTTTCTTCTTGTCTAATTGCTGTGGCTAAGATTTCCAGTGCTGTGCTGAATAAGAGTGGTGAAAGTGGACAGCCCTGTCTTGTTCCCGATCTTTAGGGAATGCTTTTAATTTTTCCTTACTGAGTATAACATAAGCTGTGGGTTTATCATCTGGCATTTATTATGTTGAGGTGTGTTCCCTCTATTCCCATTTTGCTGAGAGTTTTTATCATAAATGGGTGATAGATTTCATCAAATGTTTTTCTGCATCTGAGTACATGATCATTTTTTATTCTTCATTTTGTTCATGTTGTGTATTATATTAATTGATTTGCAGATATTGAACAAACTTTCATCCCAGTAGTAAATTCCCCTAGATCATGGTGTATGATATTTTCAGTGTATTCCTGAATTTGGTTTGCTAATATTTTATTGATTTTTGCATTTATGTTCATCGAGGATATTGGCCGGTAATTTTCTTTCTTTGTAATGTCTTTATCTGGTTTGGGAATCAGAATTATGCTGGCCTCATAAAATGATCTTGGGAGTGTTCCATCCTCTTGAATTTTTTAGAAGAGTTTGAGAAGGATTGGTATGAATTCATCTTTGAATGTTTGGTAGAATACACCTGTGTAGCCATCTGGTCCAAGATACTTGTTTTGGGGGAGGTTTTTTTTGTTTGTTTTATTACTGCTTTGATTTCATTGGTTGTAATCAGTCTTTTTAGATTTTCTGTTTCTTCTTGATTCAATCTTGAAAGATTGTATGTTTCTAGGAACTTATCCATTTCTTCCAGATTGTCCAATTTGTTGTTCATAGTATTTTCTTATACTTTTGCTTTATTTCTGTGGTATCAGTTGTCACTTCTCCTTTCATTTCTCTTTTTATTTATTTTGGTCCTCTTTTTTTCTTGATGAGTCTGCTTTAAGATTTGTCAATCTTGTTTATCTTTTCAAAGAATCAGCTCTTGGTTTTATTAATCTTTTGTATTGTTATTTAGACGCTGTTTTGTTTGTTTATGCTTTGATTCTTATTATTTTCTTCCTCCTACTCATTTTGGGCCTTGCTTATTTATTATTTTTAGTCCCTTTAGGAATAAGGTGAGATTGTTTATTTGAAATTTTTTTCTTGTTTCTTGAGGTAGTCCTATGTTGCTATGAATTTCCCCCTTAGCACTCTTAGGGGTGCTTTCACTGTGTCCCATAGATTTTAGGTTGTTGTGTTTTCATTTTCATTTTCCCAAGGTATCTTTTGATTTCTTCCTTATTTTAATGTTAATTCATACATTGTTTAATAACATGTTATGTATCCTCCACATGTTTATGTGTTTGTCAGATTTTTTTTTGTAATTAATTTCTAATTTCATACCATTGTGGTCACAGAAGATGCTTGATATGATTTCAGACTTCTTATGGTCCCCTATTATGATTGTATCATTGTCAGTCTTTTCTATATGTCCACCCATATTTGGTTTACATATTTAGTTACTCCTATGATGGGTGTTTACATTTTTATAAGAGTTATATCCCCCTGTTGGATTGACCCTTTTCTTATTATGTAGTGTCCTTATTTTACTCTTACTATATAGCCTTTGTTTTAAAGTCTGTTTTGTCTGATGAAAGTATTGCTGCTCCAAGGGTTTTGTTTTGTTTGTTTACATTTGTATTAAGTTTCTTTTCATCCCTTTAAATAAGTCTTTGTGTGTCTTTCGATCTGAGGTGGGTCTATTGTAGACAGCATATAATGGTGAGGGAAAAAGTAGGTTTACCATTTTGAGTGTGGGAAACACAGAGTTTATTCTTGTATTATTTATTAATTATTGTATTATATATTTGTAGTATTTATTATTATATTTATTATTTTGTATCCTTTTTATGATTTATCTTTTAGGTAATGATGGCTAGTAATTTAAACTACTTTTTCCCCATCGTATATATATGTGTTTTGTTTTCTTAGCAATTCAGTTACTCTATGGTTTTTGACTGGATAATTTAACCCATCTACATTTAAAGTGATTATTAATAGGTATGAATTTATTGCCATTTTGTTCTTTATAATTATGTTCCTCTTTTTTATTCTGTCTTCTTAAAAAACTCCCTTTAACATTTTTTATAATACTGGTTTAGTGGTAGTGAACTTCTTTAGCTTTTTCTTGTCTAGGAAGCCCTTCAATTTTTTTTTTTTCAATTTTGAATGATAGCCTCGCTGGGTAGAGGTGTCTTGATTGTACATCTGTCCTTTTCATTACTTTGAATATTTTATGCCAATCCCTTCTGGCCTGAAATGTTTCCACTGAGAAATCAGCTGACAGTTTTATGGGCTCTCCCTTGTAACTAACTGTCTCTCTCTTGCTGCTTTTAAGATTCTCTCTTTGTCTTTAAACTTTGCCATTTTAATTATGATGTGTCTTTATGTGGCCATCTTTGGGTTCATCTTGCTTGGTACTCTGTGTGCTTCCTAGAATTGTGTGTCTATGTTTTTTCTCCATATCAGGTAAGTTTTCAGTCATTATTTTTTCAAATAGGTTCTCAATTTTTTGCTGTATTCTTCTAGTACCACTCTAATGCAGATGTTGTTAAAATTTTTATTGTCTCATAGGTTCCCTTTTCTTTTAAATTTTCTGATTGGATCTCTTCTAGCTTCTCTATCAGTTCGCTGACTTGATCCTCTGCTTCATCTAATCTGTTATTAATTCCTTTTTTTTTTTTTAGGTTTTTATTTGAACACTTGTTTTTTTTTAATTAATTAATTTATTTTTTCAAATACATTTGTCTCTGCCTACCGCCCACCACTTTCCCTTGCCCCCTCCCTCCCTCAACTCTTCCCCTTTGGTTTTGTCTATGAGTCCTTGCTATATGTTCCTTGACTTTCCCTTTCCCTTCCTTTTCCCCCGCCCCTCCTCCTTCCTTCCCTCTTGTGTCTGTTGGTTTCTTTTCCTTTCAGTGTTGCTGTTATTAATTCCTTATAAAATATTTTTCATTTTAGATGTTGCCTTATAATTTCTAACTGGTTCCGTAAATATTTCAAGTGTACAGTTCTATAATACATCATCTGTATATTGCATTGTGCTCAACACCCAAAGTATAGTCTCTTTCCATTACCTTATATTTGACTTCTTTTATTCTCTTCATCTTGCCCCACCCTCTGCTAAGCACAATATTGTTGTCTGTATCTATGAGTTTTTTTGTTTGTTACTTGTTTTATATCCCATATATGTGTGAAATTATATGGTTCTTGTCCTTTTCTGTCTTACGTATTTCACATAGATTCTCTTGCAAACTACAAGGGCCCTGTGGATATGGGAAGTTTAATAAGAAAGCCTAGACTACTACCCTTTTGTCAAGACAATGTTTAATGTTCATAGCTTCAGATTTAGCTTTTCTTTATTCATTCTTTGTCACCTGTTCTTTTCCAACATGCACTTTTTAATATAGCCTTTTATTTAAAATAGTTTTCTTCCTCACAGTCTATTCGGTGATATTATATACTGAATTTTTTTTTAGGCTTCAGGAAATGTTTTCTGAGAATGTGTTATTTTGTGGTAAATAAGACTTCATATACCTGAATTATGAAGTGAGAGGATTGGAAATTCGGTCATATATAGGTTTTTGTAACTACTGCCCTTTGAACTTAAAAATTAGGGGGCATCTCATCATGTCACTGTATACCTATCAGGACTTTGTCATTGCCAGCCAGGACACTGGTTTTTATTCTGTTGGGATATGCATGTTTGTAAATCCCACCTTCTCAGAGAAAACCACTTATTATTTTTCTCAGCATAATGTTACATTGAAGCTTTTCTCAGTGTTGAATGCCCAAGCAAAATATTAGCTGTTATGGAAGACAATGGAAGCAGATGCTCTTTCTGGGAAACAGTAATATATTTGATTTGAAAGGATGACCTTCCTTGTCATCCTTTTCAACCTCATTTGGCTTTAGGTTTATAGCAAAAGAGTATTCTATCTCCTATATTTTGCAGATAGTGATCAAACACCCACATGTACAAATCTAAAAAAGTACATGTTGAATTCAACTTCATTTATCTTGGTTCATCCATTTAGGAAGATAACTACAATGGATTTCTAGAGAAATCCTGATTTTTGTATTGAATCAAAAACTATCTCCTAAAAGAACAAATTTGAATGCTTTTTTGTAGAGCCTGCCTCCTCGTACAAGATGCCTATGGAATGTTCAGTGAAGTGCACTTAGAGGGCACCATCTTTAAGGACAGACAGTTGGAAGGGAAATCCTGCAGCCTAGCGGGAATGAAAGTTCTACAGAAAGCCATCAGAGGAAGGTGAGGACACATTCTAATAGTATCCTATTTGCTACAATGGCTGGTTCTTTCTTTTCTTTTCCTTTTTTTTTTTTTTAATTTTATTTATTTATTTTTAGAGAGAGGGGAAGGGAGAAAGAGGAGAGAAACATCAATGTGTGACAGAAACATTGAGCAGTTGCCTCTCACACACACACCAGCTGGGGACCAGCCCCACAACCCCACAACTCCACAACCCAAGCATGGGCCCTGACCAGGAATCGAACCGGCAGCCCTTCACTTTGCGGGACAGTGCCCAACCAACTGAGCCCCACCAGTCGGGTTGCTGGTTCTTTAATTAATCTTTTATCTCTAATTTTATTTTGAAAGACAATAAACTAAGATCTTAGAGTTTGCCTATAAAACAAAGCCAGGGTTGAGTGGGGCCCATAAAGTACCTCTGGAGAGGGAGGGGAATGATAATTGACAACAAAAATAATTATGCAGATTTAGTTCAAATTTTATTACAATTAAGAAGATTTTATAATGTTATATGTGTATTTTAATGCTAAAGATTTGTTTTCTGTATGTTTTCCTAGTTCTAACAATAAGGCAGCTTTATATGAGTTTATGTAAATGAAATTTTGTGAAGAGGCATCTTATAAGCTAAACTCTTACATTGTTGCATATTTTTATTTCTATAAAGCTTTATTCTCTGTCAAGTTTCATGGTCCTCAGCCTAAAATGCTGTTTTGGATAGGCAGAGGTGAAATACCACATAAAGATGGCCCACACTGTGGCTGGTATATCTCCAATAATCATCTTAATCCTATCATACAGAGAATTAGTGTAAACCATGAATTGGGGATTTTCTCGATCTTCTAACCTCTCTTTCCTCAAATAGTGTATTACTGTAACTCTCTTGATGTTAATGTTTTGTTTAATTATAGTAACATCTGAGCTCATAAGAGTATCTGAGGGAGATATTCTGATTTTGAAGCAGTTATAGATAGCATCTGTCAGTGGTTTATATAATGACCACTCTGGCCATCATTCTAAATTGTGAGCATGTCCTGAGCGTTTCTCCTGACTGACCTCTACAGTCAGCTTTCCCACAGCCCTCAGCTCAGTTTCACCTGTCTTTCCTGCATCTCTGCAGACAAGTGATGGCTCTGCCCATGAGCTTGTTTTTTGAAAGACATGTATTTCATAGACAGATCCCCTATAAGCACTGTGTAGATACAAGAATATTTTATTGATCCATGTAGAATTATTTGTAATAAATGTTTTCTTTTGTTTATAAAAGGGTAACTATATTATAATGTAATGACCTTATAGATTAGGGCAGGGGGGCTGTACCCAGATATTTGGAAAATATACTAGGCATGTGAAAAGCTTCATTGGGTTCTATGAACTGTATCTTTATTAAGGCTGAACCTCATTTTAGTCCTCAGAATCTTAAGTATCTGAAAAGCGGTATTTTTTACCGTAAGTGTAGTTGGCACTGCCTTGGCATTGGCCTGACAACATTAATCCTATCAGGGCCATTTAGGAATTTGTCTTCCTTGATGAACTATACACATGAGCCTCCCACCTGAGCACACCAGGACACCAGTAGGCTCCTCAAGGCAGGCTAGCCTTGCCATGGGGCCGCAGCATTGCTCCAGCTGCCAGGTTTCCTGGTGTGCTACAGGCCAAAGGGAGGCTGTTCTGCCCCAGGAGACACACTTCTTGCTGGAGACTGCAGGGCATAACTTCTTTTGGAAATACTACAGCCAGACTGGAATTCAGGGATCTTGGACTCTATAAATTTCATGTACTTTTATCAGTATGTGTAGCTAATAACATTTAATCTAGTTTTCGTCCGGAACACTGGACGTTTTACTCCTGTCTACAACATGACCATGGAAAATGCACTAAGTAGTTCAAATTCATTTATGAACAAACTTTTGGAAGCCACTCCTTTTTCAAGTTGGTGACCAAGTATCTGATCATTTTTGTTAGCTTGGGATTAATTCCTTTATCTTACACATTTAATATTATTTTGGCATGCAGTCATCCAAATAAATATTCAGATTGTCTTTTTGTTCTTTTGGAGATTTTATTTTTTCAAAGCAAATTATTAAATAGTTTTGGTATGCTGGGTGTTATCATTGCCTATTAGTGATGTCATCCATTGTCAGTCAGTCATCCATCCATGGCCCAGTAAACACAAATCGTCTTTCTTTTTTTTCCAAATTACTGTGTTTCTTAGCAACTCTCATAAACTTTAAACAAAATATACTTTTCAAAAACCTTAATAAAATACACTTCCAAAAAGCAAGCTAAAATGATTAATTTTAATTATATAATCCCAATATCTAATACAGAAAATAATTTTTTTGCCAGTTGGAAAATACTTGTATGTTTAGACTGAGTTATGGAGTCTTTTAGATCTTGGCTACCAACTTTCATCTGGTTATAGTGACAGAAGATCACTGCTCCCTACAGTGGCTTTGAAATGGACTGATGACCTCAGAGCTGTTCAGTCAGACCAACATGCTATGAGACCACTCTACACAGAGCACCACTCTGTCTACCTGCCTTGTTTGGGAAAGCTCACAGAAAAACAACCATCATGTCTTTTGTGTTTCTCTGATATATTTTCAAAGTTAAATATTTATACTGACTGGTTAAAGTAAGAATAGTCAAAAAAAATAGCCCTGTATTTAAAGGAAAAAACTGTTATTTTCAACACAACCCTTCAGCATGCTTGCTCAGCAGGATGTGGAGCTGTGCCTGTGCTTTCCCCGCTCCAAAGCACTCCCTGCTATTGACTCAGGGACTGCTTGTAAGGCGTTTCCCAACCTTTGTCCTCCCAAGAGGCCTGTGCAGCAGTTTAGTAGGTCAGACCAGCTGAAAAGTAAGAGTCTGTTGGTGTCATTCTATGTATGAACTTTATCTTTTTATTACTGATTATTATATTATTTTATTTTTATATGATAAGGCAATACTAGGGGGGAGGCGGAGAGAAATATGTTAACCCTCTACACACAAAATACAGCTAGCAAAATTCTTTTGTGAGGGCATTCAAAATCCTGCATGTATTTATGTCCCAAGTTATTAAAACAAAACTACTAATCTCTGTGTCTAAAATATTATTAATTTATAGGTATTATTTTACTTAGATCTCTTGAATGAATGGCCGTTTTAGAGTAATGTATTAGAGAGAACTTTATTGCAGCACGTAGTCAGTAGTGACTATACACAGATGGCTCAATCTGAGTGTTGAGAATGACAAGGAAATAGTAGATACCATCTTTGGCTCTGAATTGCATCCCTTAGAAAAGAGAACCAGGCAGTCACAAGTAGTAGAGCAGTTGATGCTTTAAGTGACTAGATCTTAACTGGCTTATCTCATAAGGTTTCATGAAAGGAGTGAATACAAAGGCTATAAACATCTTGATCTGGCAGAAGGAAAAGTTCTCTTCAAACTGGTAAAATGTTACCTGTGAAGACATAAAAGTAGGATTAAGAAAGATGTATGCAAAAGGGGAAGAAAAAGGCAATTCCCTTATTTATTCTGTAAGTATTTAGTGTCTCTGAGAGCTATGCCCATGGTTAGTTGCTGCAAGATTCAGCTTTGTGTTGGTTTGGGGGACTTATTCTAGACCAGAATATACTGAGGTATAAAGTCAGCTAGATACAACTGATAAAGCCTAAAGTCCTATAACTAGAGATTGTACATTGATCCAAGAAAAAGGTAGGGTCATTAAGAGTTTTTGAGAGAAGAAAAGGGTTAATAAATATGAAAATGAGCCCTGACCAGGTGACTCAGTTGGTTAGAGCATTGCCCCCATACACCAAAAGTTCATGGGTCTGATTCCCAGTCAGGGCACAAACTTAGGTTGCAGGTTCGATCCTTGGTTGGGGCATGTACGGAAGGCAGCTGATCAGTGTCTGTATCTGTCTCCCTCTCTCTCTCTCTGCCTCTCTTCCTCTCTCTCTCTAAAATCAATAAAAGCATATTCTTGGGAAAGGATTTTTCAAAAACCTTAAAGAAAATGAAGTCAAAATTATCCTACTGTTATAGCTATAATAGATTTGACATAAGGGAGAGATGGGGCAGGGTTAGAAGTATAGAAACTTCTGCAGCAATTGAGGGAAGAAGAACCAAGGACCAGTTACCAGTTGATTTTGAATTTCTGATACCCATAGGCAGCTCTAGTGAGAGGTGTGGCAAATGCCAAGAATATAAAATAGACCACTTCCTCCAAGAGGTCACAGACTAGCAGAAGAGCCCAGGAGGACACCCAGAAAGGTACCAGCGAGCAAGTGTCTAATACAGAGAACTGTGGACTGGTAACAGCCACCTTTGAGGGAGGCTCAGAGGGTGGGGTAAGATTTAGGAGTCCTGGAACAGGAAAGGCCTGGGATAGTGACCTAGAATGAGGAAAAGGAGGACAGCCTCCATTGTCTAAACATTCACTCACCTCTCTTGAGAAAGTATGACCATAAGGAGAGCACTGCTGCCTGAGTAGTTTTGATAAAGGGGTTGGGCATTTGGGAGCGGGTGCATTTTAGAGACTGATGCAATAAATGGTTATTGTTTAAATATAAGCTTTTGTTTTCAGGGTAACAAACAAAATACGGATAAATTTTTTACTAGAAGCCAAACTTAGCATGCTCAAAAACTGACCTAAAGGTCAGGAAAACAAAGTCCCTTAGATGTCCTCATCCCAATCCCTAGCCACTATACTTGTGGCCCTTTGTCCCACCACTCTAGCAGCCTCCGTTTCCTGGACCTTATTTAAGTCCCACCTTTCCCTCACAGGCCATCTTTAGTGCTCCTGCATTCAGGCTCCTGGCACCTTCTCCTGGCACTGCCTCCTCTGTCTCCTGCGGCAGTCCCTGCTGGATGGCCCCCTTCCCTTCTCCACCAGGGCACCCAGTGTCGTAGTGCTGCTAACGTTGATGCCCATGCCCAGGGCTGTGAGGGATTCCCAGCAGAGAGGAACATTGTAATGCAAATAAGGGTGACACCACAGGCTTAAGTTTGAATG